TTTTATTTGTCAAAATAAAATTCAACGTTTCTGTCTCATATCAAAAAAAAAAAAAAAAAAAAAAAAAAGAAGAAGAAGAAAGAAAGAAAAAGAAAATTGGTATAAGTCATCAGACAAAAATAAAATCTAGGGACAATTATTTATCAAAACTCTGTTATCTCTCTAAAATCCTAATTTCCCTCATACATATTGTCATCCTTATTTTTACGTTTCCCAGTATGTACACCTATAAAAGTTAAACATCCTGTGCTGATATTATTGTTTAAGTCTTCCACAATGAACAATAAAATTTTCTAACAGCAATCTTTGAAATCTCCAGAAAGATGGGGCCCCAATACATCGATCCCACTTGATTCAACTTGGTGCTTTTGAACTAGTGAATACCACTCTAAGATCAGGTGAGGGCTAATACTGCTCTAGACAAGCCAGACTAGCTAGCACCTTTGAACACTCTGGCCAGAGCTTCAGAACTTTAGTCATGCATCTCCTGCCACTCAGAGACTAGCTACAAATGTTACAGCTAGTCCTCTGGAGACTTTCCATTGCTTTATTTGTTTCCTACAGGATCCCATAGAGTCACCATCTCCCCATTTCAGCCAAAAGTAACTCTTAAGAAAAACAATGTCCCCTTTCCCAAAAGTTGGCATTAAGGGTATTTTCTTCCCTGTTGTCTTAAAAGGGATACTTATCACCTGCTTAGGGTGGGTTTTAAGTTGTGTAGGGTTGGGTATGGAAGGTGATAGTCAGACTGGGGTATCATTTTTAGAAAAGCTTAAGAGTATAGATAGGAAAGGTATGGTTAGGATGGGATATAGGTAGATTAACATATCTTCTTGTGAACTACTTTTATAACTATTAGCTATAGATAATTTAAATTGTTAGATTCTTATATGTTGACTAATTAGAACCATCTTTCTGTTTGTGATATTTTGCACACAAATATAAAACTATCTTTAGGTATATATTTTGTGTATTGATACAACTTAGGATATTTTATCACATTGCACTTTACAGTTCTATCTCTAGTCAAGACATTTAAGTTCTATCTGTTATTGATGTGTGTGTGAGTGCATATGTGTGTGTGTGTGTGTGTGTGTGTGTAGTTACATTTTTTTAAGTCATTTCTTTTCTAAATTATTAATTATTTTGGGAAGCTTCAGCCATTGAGCAACTACATTTCTGGGAATTACAGATTATAGTTACCCATGCTTCTTCTACCTATGAGGTTAGTCAGAAATAGATATTTGATCTTCAAACACTTCAAAGACCTGCAGAATATGGCATTAAATGTTTTAATATTAGTACTCTATTGACATGAGACACAATTGCTCCTGACAGCACCAAGCTATTCCTGAGAGTATGCTGGGCACTCTTAACACTACATCTTGAGTTTATTCTCTCCTTGGCTACTGGTCTCTTGGGCAAAGAATTGCCCTCACCTTGACTGCTGACCTTGGACATGCTGTTCTAACTGAACTTGCAGGAGATAAACTTAAAAAAGACTGCTGAACCTTGCCAAGTCAGGATAAGAGAGTTTTTCAGTTTCCCTGCTTCTGAGATAGTCTGTCTGACACTTTAGGCCTTAGCCAAAGTTGGTGGCTCCAATGCTGCTGTGAGACTTTGGGTGACTGTCCAGGTAGTCTGCTGTTTCTGTCTTAATTGCACCTTTAGAAGTCACAGGCTTGTGCTTCCTACCTACCCTAGTACTGTTATTTTCTTTCTCAGGTCTTTGATGAAGTTGAAGACTAGACAGTCATAGCAATATCCACTCTTATCTTATATTGACAAGATTTAGCCTTTACAGATTAGTACTACCATCAGAGTAATCTCTGTCATGCCTTAATTCTGACACTAGACATGTATACTGGACATGTAGTGTATATATCCATTACTCAGTGTTGCTCTTGCTGATAGTAGGTTTTAATTTGTGCATATTTAATTTTCTTTTTCCTGAAACATACTTAGCATTTGTTATCATTATAGATAGTTTTTGCATCAGGCATAAAAACTGTCTTCTTTAGACTAAAAGGGGAATTGTAGAGGTCTTGCAGTGAACTTGTAATGGTGGCCACATCCACTTGGGCATGGCCTCAGGCAGAATGAACCAGAAAAGGGGAAACTTGAGAGGTGGCTTTCCTTAGCACTTCCTTTCTAGTGGGGCAGCTGATCTGGTGGAAGGGCAGGGAAACACTATTGTGGATCTTTGCATTTTTTCTGTGTAATTGTTCCCCAATAACCACCCATTTATCATTTATCTTGGGTCTAGTGAAATAATTGCGTCCTCACCTTCCATCAGGTATCATCTGAGCCCTATAGCAAAGACTTCCCCAGATTTTGTGACTTACTTATCTGGTACTTTTACCAATGTATTAGAAATATGTCTTAATTTTTAATTTCCTTTTTCTATAAATTTACAAACTCGTGTAACTGTTAACATATGTAAACATGGAACATGGGCTGAGTTAAATCAGTGTTTCTGGGCCAGAGTCACTCTCACTCACGTTCGGCTCCCAAATAAATTGTCTCTTACTTCCTTTGAGGTGGGAGTTGTGGATTAATATCAACACTATTTACATGAACAAGTTTAAGTCACACAGGGTCAGCAACTGAGTCAGCAGCATGACAAGGCCAGCATAACCTTCTCTACCAGTCATTTCAGGAAGTGAAAGCACCACAAGCCAAGATGAGTAAGAGTGCAGGTGGGGCTGTCTTTGTGGGAAAGGTGCTTCCTTCCACTTCCCTGTTCTCATTTCTGGGTCCAGGTAAGGTGCAAACAGCACTACCCGGTGATGTCCCTGTCAAGTCTCCTCAGAGGCAGTTGTAGTCCTACACAGTTTCTGCAAAGCTACCACAGTTCAGTGCAGCCAGAGAAAATACTTCACTAAATAGTTTCCTGTTTTTGAAACAATTTGAGTTGATACAAGATGAATGGATGAAGGTACACTGTGAAGTATACTGACTAATCTGCTCTGTTAGCCTAACAACTACTATAGAATGCAGTGGAATTGTTATGTCTAACATCAGCTGCTAGTTGGGCTAGGCCTGTGAAATGTTTCTATGATAATGAAATTGAAGTTTGTGACAACCTTCTACAAAAGGACAACACACAGGTCACTGCCTGTCAGGATGTGGAAAGGAAAGCAATATATAGTGGTACAGTTGAAGTGTGTGTTACCATCAGAGGCCATTCTCTCTGCTTCAACTTGTGGACACCTCTGATGTTGAATCTATACTGTAGTACTACTGCCAACCTCACCCAAAGTTAGAAATTATCACAAGTAAAGTGAGTGGCCAGAAGGGCTTTCCCTGAGTGAAGCCTATCTCTGAAGATATAGGTTCTCTTGTCCTTGAACACACCAGACTGTCTATCTTAAATCTTCCAAATGATAGCATGATTGAGTCATGGTGGAGCAGACTGATCATTTGAACCTGTGCTATGAGCCAACTGAGCAATCCCTACCAAACCCATTACCTCAGTCCAGGGCACTTTCACTAAGAATATCTTTATTTATTCTCTTAACTCTTTACTTACATATGTGTAAGGAATATGTTTTTTCCTCCTGCTGCCTGGTCTTGTCCCGCTGCCAAGCCAGCCCCAAATAACACACAGAGACTCTGTATTTGATATTATACTGTTGACCAGTTACTACTTTCTTATCGGCTAGCTCTTTATTAAGTATTAACCCATTTGTGTTAATCTATGTATTTCCACGTGGTCTTCTTACCCGGAGCCAGCTGCCATGTACTGCTCTCTCCAGACTCTCCATCTTGGCTCCTCCTTACTACTTCCTATTTCCTCCTTGTCTCCTAGTCCTGCCTATCTAGCTTTCCTATTGGCCAACAGTGCTTTATTCATTATGTCTAGGGAGGCAGGGAGTGAGATTTCCTAGGATCAATGTCCACAACACAGCTAGAATACTTTACTACTTATCATGTCCTTAAACAACTAAATCAAAAGACAATGATGCCCAAATTTACAAAATTATAGTGGAGGGAATAGGGAAAAGCCAGAAAAGAGAACAATGGGGGAATAGCACACGTGATCCTCCCAGGTCAGAGCTCCTGCTCATTGCTTTGAGTGAGAAGCTTTCTCTTCCCACTTCACCTTCACACAGTGAGCAACCAGTACACTGAATGCAAACACAGTACAATGTATGGTTATCCTGGCCTAGGCTTTCATCCTTTATGCTAAGTGTTTTGAATGCATTGACTTATTTGGGTCTCACAGCAACTTTGCTGGTGGTTTTAGAAGCTAATGTTATTCTAAGTTTTACAGGTGGCAATTTCAGAGAGATTAAGGAACTTGCCCAATTAGGGACAGAGCTGAGAGTACAGCTCACATCTTTGTTTCCAGTGCATTTAACCCCATTTAAGAATCCCGAGCACATTGGTTTATAAGATCTGAGCACACGTTTCCATTTTTTCCTCTAATCAATGAGTTCCTTCAGGGAAGAATTTATTGCTCATTAATTTTACATCTCTAAGGCATAGAATAATGCCTAATAGAGAACAGTAACTCAATGGCTGTCAAGTAAATAAGATGATGAATTAGAAAAATAAAAGATGAAAGGATTTAATTTGAAAAAGGTTAAACTCAGAGCAAAAGCTCATTTGATAGTAGGATGCTGTCCCATGTAAGCTTTGTGCATCCTATTTGTTTTAGCAACATATGACTCTTTTATGAGAAGCACCATTTTTACTATAGAAATAATTCAATGCTTTCAAAAATGTACTTTACCCCAGGACTTAAATGATTGAAATTCTATAATCAGAACATGGAGCAAACAACACCAGTGTATAATCATAAGCTGCCTATAATAAGCTACTTGAAGTGTTCTAATGGGTTGCAAATTTATAATCTAGACACAAGGAAAAGATATGCTTTTGGCAAAATTTAACAGAAGTGCCTCAACTGGCTTGTATAAAAAACAACCCAGGTCTTTTTATTATATACGTGTTCTCTGTTTCCTTATCAGTAGACAGACAGTCTTCACCGGTACCTTTACATCCTTTGCCATCTTCCTCCAGCTTTTGGCCAGCTTGACATCTGCAGTAATAACTGCCAATCGTATTGCAGCATTGGTCTTGACAGCCACCATTGTCAACAGCACATTCGTTTATATCTGCAATTGGATAGTTGTATAGAATCAGTCTCTTTGAAGCAAACACACAGAAAGAAACTTCAATGCCTCTCCTAAAATCAATCAAACAAGAAGCTGCCATTCCTTCTTCCAGATTTAAAGAAGGGAAAATAACATCTCATTTTATTTTATTTGTGTCTGTGTGCATGTGCATATGTGTGATTTTGTATGTAATTGCAAGCATGCAAAAGGGACAACATGAAGATGGAGTTCAGAGGGCATCCTCAGGTGTCCTCACCTGAGAAGAATTCTTATTGGTGTATGCTATGATACTTGGCCTATGAGTTTATGAGGTCTCCCTTCTCTGTCACATCTTGACACAGAAGCACCAGGATTGCAGCTTGTGCGGTAAAGAGTTTTACCTAGTAAGACATATACCCTGCCCCGGTGACTCATATTAATAAGAGCTAGTGTACTCTAAGAGAAATAGCCAAGTCCTAATTTTTCATATCTGAAGCAGTACTTTTAAAAAGCTAAATAAGGAATTTTTAGTGCTGCAGATTTAGAGAGTTTGTAGAACAGATACAGAAATTTCCTACCAGTCAGAAATTCAAGATGAGGCCCAGAACATGTTGGTGATTAAATAGCACTAGAGTTTGGTTGTGCCTACTTCTAAGTTCACAGTTAAAAGTCATTTTTAGTTATAAAACACAAATCTATGCATTCCTCCCATCCAACTAACACCTGAGACATATTCTAACCGGTTTTCAAATTTGATAGTGGCCTTCCAGGTAGCATTATTACACTTCTGTTCAGTTCAGCATGTTTATAGTGTATGCAGAAGAGTTATCTTGATAGACTCTTGCTCATTAAAAGGAATGAGGAGAGAGGGAACAGTTGGGGATGGGGGAGCATGAGGGATCAGGATAAGTAAGGGTGGGAGAACTGGGGGAAGAAACAGAAGAGGAAACGGGGAAGACTGACCAGTGAGGAACAGCAGCAGCCAAATAGAAACAAAGATGGAAGAGCTGTGTATCCGATCTGAGTGACTATAATAACATGGATTAAGTGGTATTTCAGGAATAAGGAGGCAACAGGCAGAATGAACTATTGGGAATCTTGATTGGACTTTTATTAATTGCATTCATCCTGAATATACTACCTTTGAAACTGCCTTTTCTTGCTTTTGAACTATGCAATGAACTGTGTTATACATATAGAAAAAATTACAGCCTTCAAGTATATATTTTGATTTTGTAAAAATAAAATATACGAGTACATTTCTTTTTTAATTGTGAGGATTCAAGCTGAGGGCTTATGTGTACAAGGCTATGCTCTGGTGCTGAGCCCATCCACAGACTAGCAGCACAAGCTTCCAGTAGGGACCAAGTGTGACTATAGTTCAAGAAGCACTCTGTGTAGCTGAAGGTCCTCTGATGTTGGGACACCTCAGATCAGCTTCTTTGTAATGTGTCCAGACAAACTTCGGAGGTGAATTTTTGTGTGTTTATGCCTGCCTTCTTTCAAAACTCATCCATTTATAGACACATCCATGTGCTGAATTAACTTGTAGTTTACGGCTTCTTGCTCCTGTATAATATTGTATTCTATGGATCTATCAGGATGTTTAATTATCCATTTAACAAATGAAGAACAATTGGTCATTTCCTTGGTTTTGATGACTATGAAGAATGTTGACATGAATATTCTTATATAAGCAAGCGTCCCATGGATTTACACATGTACTTCCACTGGATGATGTATCTCAGCTGGAATCCCTGAGTCTAACAGTATGACACATTCTACTTTAGTAGTTATAAACAAGCAGTCTCCCAAAGTGATTAATCTAATTTACACTCCAACCAGCTGTGTGTTGGGGACCATATGTCACCAATTCCTTCCAGTATTTGGGATGTCCGGTTTCTATTTCAGGTTCTCTGGAGACTTTATAATATAGTTGTGACTTAAGTTGTATTTTCCTGGTTATTTACTCAGTTAAGCACATTTTCATATTATTGACCATTTGGGTGACATTTGTTTAAAAGTTTGTTCAAATACTTTGTCAATTTGTTTAACTCTTAAAATATTGGTTATTTTACATATTGGTCTAAGAGATTAATCTCAAACAAAAGAGATGTTTGTAATCAACTGTATCTGTTCAAGCCTTGAAAGGATTATTTTTTAACATGCACTCATAGGAGTGGAAATAAATCTATATTTCAATCAGTCTACCTATAAAGATTCAACTGATCAGATTAAGAATATCCTCATTTTGTACATATTTGATTCAGAAACAAGTGGAATGTCTTTCCACTACTGAATATACACAGAAAATTATTTGGTTTTCTTATTAATTCTATAAGCTGATAAATGTCACAGACTGATTTTTGCATCTCTAAAATAAATCTTATCAAGATATTGTGCCCCTTCCATATATTTCTGGATTCAACTGGGACTTTTGAAATGATATTGTGCTTATATTCATCATATGACTGGTATTTTTTTCTTTTCCCTTCTAGCCCCCCTCACATTTTTTGTAACACCAGGTTCTTGTACCAACATTTCATGGGAACAAAAGCAAGTTAGAACTATTTATTTTTTCTATCGCCTGAATAGTTTGGTTTTATTTTTTACTTCAATGTTTGTTTATTATGAAATGCTAGATCAGTTTCATGGTGGAGATAGCATATATTCAACAAAATCTCAATTTTTCAGAATTTGTTAAATTGCTTTATATTCTAACACTTGCTCAATATTGGTTTAAAATTATATATATACATTTCAATTATGTATAAACATGTATATTTAATTAGTTTGAATTTGCTACACAGGCTTTTCATACATTCACATCTTCGAGGATTTTTCAAGATTGAAAGTTTTGTTTCATACAATTTGAAGTTTTATTAATCTTGCCACATTTTCCTAGCACATATAACCCTTTGTTATAAAGTGTGCCTTTTTAGATCTAGCATCTCTCACTAAAGTTGACTTTTTGTGACATTGCTACCCATATCAATTACCTTTTGGTTACCATTTGCATGAATTTCATTTTCTAAGGTCTGCTCTTACACTTTATTATTCACACATTTGAGAATTTCTCTATGTGTTATTTGAATCTATTCTAGCTCTTTCCAAACATAAATAGATTCTAGTTCCCCATTACCTTAGTCTTTGAACTATAGGATGACACTCTGTAATTGACCTCTGACTACTGACATCTTTGAACTAAATCTACAATTTCCCTATTTCTACAAAGTTGCAATATATTATGCTGTAATTCTTATCCACAAGCACCCTCCTTTAAATTTATGATTTTAGTTTGCCATTTTCCCTCGTTTTCAACTGTCTACTGTATATTAATTTATCACTTTAGTGGTAATTCTAGACACCACAGCATTCATTATTAGATGCTAATATAAATTAGTGTTTAACCACTTCCAGAAACTACAGTCACTGCAGTTTCTGTGGCTGTTAGGCTTGGAATGTTCAAATCATTGTCAATTCTATGGTGGTTTCAGATTTTAAATGGTGTCTACCTTATATTATTATTGTATGTAAGCATCAACCTGGGTTCATCCTTTTATTCACATTTTCTGGGACTTACCATTTCTTCCTCCATTCATCATCCTAGATGCAATGTTGTCATTCTGAAAATGACAAGAATGTATATTTTCATATTTATAATTTGGTGGGATTTTTTAATGCTTTGTTTGGAAATATCCCACCTGGTTATTCATTTTAAGAGTTTTATAATTATAAGAAAATTGAAAAAATAAAAGTTACCTTTAGCCCACACACTCCACATCTCATGATTAGAAACATCTTAAGTTAGTTAGATACATTTATTTAATTAATGAGTCAGCATCAACAGGCCATGGTCACATAGTCACATTTCCTGTCCTCAAATAATACCCCTCTTCTGTCTCAGGATTCTTTCCACATCATTACACCAAATTTAAATACTGTGCCTCCTTAGGCCTCAAACTTAGTTCTGATGTTCTTGAAATTTTTGAGTAAAACCAATCAGATATTGTGTAGTGTAATTTTTGATATGATTCTGTGTGGTGCCTTTCTTGTTTCATGTTGGGAATCTTGTTTTTTGAAGAGGAATACCACAGGGATAAAGGGTAATTTTCACATGAACAGGATTTAGCTTTGGTTGGTGCTGACCTTGATCCATTGGTTAATTAAGGATGTGCCAGTTTCCTCATTTTACAGTAGCAAGGCTACTCTTTGGAGCAAAGCCATCTTACAGAGCTATATAGTATGAGCGAAGAGCCAAGCCTATTCACCTAAAAGTAAAGAATCCCACAGTCCTCTGCAACTCCTCCTCACCAGGACCTGCCTCTTCCCCATTTACTGTAGCCAAATGTTGAAGATTCTTCTCAATGGAAGAGCACTAGGTTGGCCATTGGCTTCTTCAAGCTTTTCCTATGCCATTCCATCATCATTATTGAAAATAATGGGCCTGTTTTCTCTGCTGGAAATATAGATTCTCTCTTGATTTCTGTCTATCCACCGAGCAACCTGCTGGCTCCTGATATTTGTTCATTTGTTTGTTTCCTTGTCATTTCCTCCCATTGAGTTTTAAGTGCGTCTAGTTGTACACTTATGCTTTGCTTTGACTTTTAGAGGAGCTGTTCCTAACTTCACCTGTCCAGACATGGCATTTCCCTCACCTTCTGCAGCCTCTCCTATCCTTTACATAAATGAAATTAAGAGACCTACCATGTGCAAATCATTTGTTTTCCCTTTTATTTTGTTTTATAAGCATATATTCTTATTCGTGGCTTTGGAGCAGATGTTCCTGTTCTCCTACTGCTTCCCAGTCTTTCTTCTAATCTGAAAGGCTGGGCCTCATGCTCTCATGGATCCCCAAAGTTGTTGCTCCAGGGGAGCCTGGGTGGACATCTGAGGCTGAAGGAAAGTTGCCCAGAATATCATTTCCAAGCCCAGGACTGAAAAATCCTGCATCTTTTTTACACACTGGGTAGCTCTCTACCTAACATCTCTGTGAATAAAATGATTGGTTTTGTTATTCA